GACAACTCCTCCACTCTTCCCGATTTTGACCTTTTCTTCCAATTTGATATCCACTTTCTCTAGTCCTGCTTTATACCATCTATCCATCCTTCTTGGACGTCTCTCGGTCTCTTCCAGTGGGTTTCCATTCGGCCGCCGCCTTAAGATGTATAGAGTTTGGCCTTCTCATCACGTCCAAACCATTTATTCTTTATGATTTTACAAAGTTGGTTATCTTTAGTATTCTGTCAAGTCTCGAGATCTCTTTTTATTCTTCTGCGCCAACCAGGTCATTGTCGATATACTGGACCTGGGTGGCGGCAAAAACTCTTGAAGAGTTGTGATGCCAATGAAGAAGAATTATAAATTTATAACAAGTGTTATATTTTGTATAAAAAAATATATAACAACTTTATAAATATAAGAACAATGTAACACAAAATATTATACTTCCTTAATATTCTTTATAATATAATATTTCAAAATAAAGTATTATACTTTTTATGAAAATAATCACTAAATTCACTAGATTCCAAATGCAAATTGTTAGTATCATTGTTGTTATATTCTATGGTATCGTTCTGTACAATAAAATAAATAGCTAGGTAAGTAAAATTGATTATAGGTAAGCATAAATCACATATTTAGTACTTTTTTTGTTTATTTTTTTAATTCCATTTGATAGTAGGACATAATATAAGAAATAATATTTATTCTTTTTGAACATTTATAAATGTTCAATTGTACCTTGAATATGAAATCTTCGTCACTATCAGATATATTTCCAGTTGAACTACCTTCAGACCAATCTGATAAGTCCAGACATTGCGAAATTTCATTTTTATTCATTATTACTTAGTTATAAAAATGAAACAATAGCGAATAACAATCAACATCAAAAAACATAAAATTATATTCAAAACATATCAACAGTTTTGATAAGAATATTGTACTAGGGCCTGAGTATCATATGTGATACTCACTTTAAATTTTTTTTTTTTTTATCAAAATCGATTTATTATCATGCAATTTTATTAATCAGTAGTATGAAATAGAGAGTTCTGCTGGTGATCCCGTGATCCTCGTGATCCCCGTGATCCTTGGCTCGTAATCTCGTGATCTTTGATTGCGTACGTGTGTGATGTATATTTACCCCACCACCATATGATCCAGTACGTAATCAATATATATTTTAATATTATTATCAATTAATATTACTATCGATTAATATTATTATCATTTATCACATGTTATTATATATAAAAACTTACTATAACGCAAAAAAAAAAAAAATATAATATTCTGTGTTAGGATCGAACCGAGTGTATATACATATTACTTGTTCATACTACCCACCTCGACTCTAACCCATTGAAAATATATTCGAACTAGCTGCCCGGCCACGCGTTGCTGTGGCTAAATGTTCTTACACTTGATATTAAGCAGACAGTCTTAAACTTTTAAACGTTAATATCTAATTTTTTAAATTATAAATACTTTTAATTTTTCAATTTAATTTAACACCAATCGGTGCACAATGCTTTTGGTTAACCTGTCTTTAGCTAACACAAATAGATTCGACGGTTTCCCAACACGTGAACACGCAACATATAGTTGCCCATGAGAAAAACATGGATTTTCCAAATTTAAACCACAAATGGACATTGTTTGACCTTGAGATTTATTTATAGACATGGCGAAAGCTAAACGAATTGGAAACTGTAGCCTTTTGAAGGGTATGGTAGAATCTGATGGTATCATCGGAATACGTGGCAGCAGGACCACTTTTCCTTTAAACTTCCCAGACAAAATGGTTGTTTCAAGAATGTTTCCGGTAATCTTTTTGATGACCAAACGCGTGCCGTTACATAATTGAGTTAGCTTCAAATTACGGAGGAGAATAATAGGGGAACCAATCTTTAATCGAAGATTATGTGGTGGCATTCCAGGGATATCTAATGAATTTAAAAATTCAATCGGAAAATTTACACTTTCATTTTCGTCAACAACAGTATCGATTGATTTAAATGACATCAGATCGCCTGGTAACAACTGTTGTTTCTGGAAGTTAATTTCGTCAACGTCAACGTTTTTGGGTGCCAAAATCGCCCGTTGACTAAGCCATTCATGATTCAAATAATTATTCTGTATATCCGGGAAAATACTCTGAATCATTTCATTTTTATCCTGAACAACAGTGCAAAAATTGTCTGGTAGTTTAATGTATTGCGTATTTGGTTGCAGTTCTATTTTACCGTTCCCAATATCTAATAGTTGTTCGGAAAATAATTGTGCTGATGGATCATTTTGCAATTGTACTCGCATATTTATGGTCATTCGAAGTGTTTCGATACTTCGCCATAAGAATGATTGTTTCAAACATGCATTAATCTCATCCGCGAAAGTAGAGCGAGGTATAACCGGTAAGGTCTGCCGGAAGTCACCAGACAAAAGTAAGATAGCACCACCGAAAAGTTTATTATTGCTGTTTAAATCTTGCATAGTTCTGTTTAGTGCTTCAAGTGAATATTTGTGTGCCATTGTGCACTCATCCCAAATTATTATAGAACTCTTCCGCAACATTGCAGCTATTCCACTATTCTTTTTGATGTTACACATTGCATCTGGTTTATTATGAACGTCGTTTATTATGCAGCTTGAATGTTGAATGTGCTGTTCGCCCACTATCCAGTAAAATAATAAATTAAAATAAATTTGAAGAAATTTCGGATTGTTATCAGGCATTGGCATCAGTGATCCGATTTTATGGTACACCTGGCCTTGAATTTTGAATGTAGTTTCAAAATTACGTCCATCGGATGCACGATCGCAAATTTTAGTTGCCCCAAATGACGTCATTTGGAAGCAAGAATTAAATTTGTGTATCTTACGCAAAAATAATTTGGAATCATCAGAATTGCCAGTAAGAAGGGATAATAAAGGCTCCGGCGGAGCGGGTAGAGGTGACAGCACAACTTTTCCTGATGCACAGCACATGCCGGCAGCTTCATTCCGAAATTTCAATGCCTGACAATATTGACATACTTTATCCATTCCACCGATAGCAATCATTGAATGCGCTGAGTAGTTAATATCTGGTGCATAATCAAAGGCAAGCCGAACGAATGATGCACGTGTTAATGAGCGGCTGATCCGTTGCCTTTGTCGATCTCTTTCTCGTACTGTAGCTAGGTTTCGTTCTTGTGTCGCTCTCGTTCTCGTAATATTCTGTTGCAGACGTTCGTCACGCTGTTCTTGAGATTCTCGTGCACGACTTTCTGCAGTCCTAATTCTTTGAGCTGCATTTCTTGTTTCCATTTGTTCTGGTAATTGCTGAGCTCTTTCAACACGTTTGCGTCGTGACCCTTTGCTGCTCGCGTTGTTGAAGTTAGATTTTTTCGGTGGCATGTTATCATAGCACATAAATAAATAAATAAATAAAATAAAATAAAATAAATTGAAATTATTGTGGCCATGGTAACGTAACTTTTATAATATTTTTTTTTTCGATTTTTATCGATATTAATCGATTTCAAGCCCTGCTATTATCGATTTTTGTATTATTATTTATATTTTATTTTTATCTGCTAGAGGGTGCCACCGGTGTAACTCGGTTTTTGTCTCTAAATCTCTAACTCACAGGAGTTAGGTCCATACCCTATATCCTGTCTTTTAAGTTGGACCAAATTACACGCGGTGTAAAAATTTCATCTGAATCGGTTAAGTGGTTTAGGAGTCCATTGAGGACAAACATTGTGACATGAGATTTATATATATTAAGATTATTATATCATATAATATTATATAAGTTTTGATGACACTATATTAAAATTAAATACTGTTAGTACTTAGAAATTTCTTAATCGTTAGACTTCTAGATATACTCAACAACAACAAATTAAAATACCTATTAGTGAATAATACATAATGAAATTTGTATTTTCTCACGAAATGTTATCATACCTGTTAGTGAATAATACATTAATAACCAATCTACACTAAAAAATATCTTAATCGCTTATACGTTAGGCTCTTAGATAGCTCGATATTGTATCCCCTACCAATTAATGGATCCATCCACACCCATCTTGTCTCTGTAAGAGCTGACATCCATTCAGTCTGTTCTCAGTCTTACACAATTGTAATTCTCCTCTACGTTTCTATCAGTCTTATAATTTATTCTGAGCTTATATTTTTTCAAGTCATATATTATTCTATAGTGTTTATTATTTGTCTAAGTCTTTTAAAAGTGTTCTAAATTTTTCTAAGTCTTTATAAATTTAAAGTGTTTATTATTTTTAAAACATGGCTGGTTCAATCGCTGACAACGCTACCTTATACAACGAGAAGAAGAGAGCCTTCACTTATGTGCCGCCATCACCTCCGACCGAACTCATTAAGTCTACATCCTACGCGTTAGATTTTACAGGTCGAAAATTTATATTTATCGGTATCGATCCAACAGAACAATTTCAAACAGTCGTTCATTTATTAACATCATCACGTTATGTTAAAATTAATATAGATTTTTTAAGACGTATATTCTCGCTTATGGGTACTATCTTATCTTTTATACTGAACATTCCACAATCATATAAACGTATGACATTTCTGGATACCGATTCTTATAAAATATCAACTATGGTTTATAGTGGTTCAAACGTCCTAGTAATTGAATCTAAAGATATTGACGGATGCAGAGTCTTACTAAATCGTAAAGATTTAATAAGACTTCAGGAATTAGAAAGGTGTATTACTAAAATATTAATGAAAAAGAATTAAACATAAAGCCAAAAATTATGAGACAAATGGACGAATACTGTAAATATATAACTGAAAAGTGCTTACGAGTGGATTTACAACCTAAAAATTTGGAAGAAATGGAAAATTTCATTCGTAACGTAGAAATCAGACAGAGTATGGCTACACCGAGCTTAAGTCAAATTAAAATGTTTGCTACTGTACAATTAGCTATACTTTGTATGGATCAATGGAACGCACAAAACCCTAAAGTAATAATTTATTAATATAATAATTTATTAATATATTAATACGTATATAAAATAACATTTATTTTTTTATTTTAGCTATATGATAAGAATTTCAGACGCCTGTCATCTTTGTCACCTAGCTATTCACTAGTAAATGATGAAATGAGTAGAATAGAAGAAAAAATCAATGCATGCGACGAAATCAATCCGTTAGAGAATGACAATAATTTAGATAAGGTAATAACATTTTCACGTTGTCGTTCTGCCGACTCATGTCGACAACAATAATTGGAGAAAGATTTTTGAAATCCGAACGGTTCAATAGAGGTGTCACATCGTTATAACCATAGTATGATTTCTGGAACTCGGTATATGCGTGATATAATGTAGCCATCTTGTTCTTAGTAAAGTCGCTTTGAAAATCTTCATATGGGAATACTTCAGAGTTTAAATAGACCTTTACGTTTTTAATTTTACAATGATCGAAAAATGACATTGCTTTACTCGAGCTATTTTTCCTATCGGTTTGAAAACCGATTATGACATATCTAGGTTTTTCTAATTTGTTAGATGTCTTTACTTTCCACGAATGCGAAGTGTTTTGAGGTAAAAACGGATATTCACACAGTTCCCACGATCTAAACGCACATGTTAGAGGTTTCTGATTGTTGATTACTTTCAACAGTCGTATTTTTTCTCTATCACTCACTTTCACTATGGGCATTCTCCACAATATTTTTGTTATGTTTATTTTAACGTCTTTTAGTTTAGGGGCGTCTACTATTTCATTATTTTTAAACTGTTTAACAGCATTCATATCGATCGATGCTCTATTTAATATAAGTTGTTGATTACAGTTTATTAAAATACGTTTATAATCTTCACAAAAAACCAAACAAATCTTTAAGATTAATACACCCGTTAAAATTACCGCTGACGATAAAATCTTTATTGACATTTTTAATATCACTATCCCAGGCAGCGTTATGATGCGATATAATATTTGATTTATTATACGAACAATATCCTTTTAATGTAGTCGAAATACCCGGGTTAACAAGTTTTTGAATTTGAGTACCGTTTATTTCATATTTCATTTCAGAGAAAAGAAATGACAGTCCATTGTTTATAAATCTAATTTCTTCAGTTATTTCTGTAGGTTTGGTTATTGTACCCTCGATGTAAATATAACTCTCACATGGTAAAGTATAAGACTCTGTGTTATGTAAAGCAATACGTACTACATCGTTATTGGAGGGCGAATCGATGAATAAAGGTAAAATGAATGATATTCAATTTGAGTTATTTTACAATCGTCGGTGTATTCAATGTGACATCTAAATGCATATCATCCATATTAAACTAGCGTTTGGCGAGCGTAGAAAAGCCAAATTTTCTGGTGTTGAACTATGTTCAACTAGTTTACGTTAGAATATTTCTTCTTAGGAGTTGTTACCTTGATAGTGTTTTCCCTGCCCACGACTATTGAGTTTATATGCATTCTTATTTATATTATAAAATTGTAGCCCATGCGAGTCTTGATTAATAATCGTGGCTATACTGGTTCACCTCGTAGATCAATCAACTCATTATCTTGATTTTTAAAATTGCTCTTGCATGCGATAGATGTAGCATTGAGAGAATAAAACACCAATGTGTTGGAACCTCTATTATTTTATAGCCTGGATCAGCACATTCGGATAAAACTCATGTATTGTATGACACTGCTTACCGTTGACGAATGAACCCATAACCAGATTTGAATCGATTTGAATATATATACAGTTTGTTTTGGTTATATTCAACGTATCTGATTCGTGATTGATATTAGCATCATATTTACCATTTTAAACCTAACAACTGCCCAATACTATTAGACATGGAAAAATCTGATAAAATGATAAGTAATTCCACCTGAAAATTCTTATCAAATTCAATTTTTATCTTGGATGATGTTATCGGAGAACAGCAACAAGTAATAAGAGAATATTTCTCTCGAGGTCGTCATAATAAAATAGATATATTTTATCTGGCCAGAGTTATTCTAAGTACTAAACAGTTATTACGTGATAATGCAAATTTAATGAGTATTGTTTCAAACAAGAGCAATTTAAGACACGTGTACAGCGAGCACTGTTCTGGAGATATGTCATATATGCAAGATTTAAACAGTTTATTGTAACATATTTGGAACCGCGATAGGTTTACATTTAAATGATTGTTGTAAGATAGCGATCGTGATAACGGACGTTATGTTTGGGTTTAAATACTTGTAGTTATATAACGTTACAAATATGTAAAATGTGACATTCAAAAACGTAGTCTTGACAGAATCAACTACTGTTTTAGATGAGCTGGTTAAAGCTAAGGAAAGTATCAAACGTAAATACATTAAAAACCAGGTCAGATAATGTTCAGCAGTGTGACACAGACATTAAGCAATTATCGATCGCTAGCTAAAATATCAATAACCCGGATTATCATTGATCAAAGAAATAATAACGATAAATCGAAAACTCATTTGCTAACGATATCAACAAGAAATTGAAAATTGGCTTCAGTCTACAGACTTGGATAAAATCTATGGTCGAAACTTCCAAACGGCTATATTATCTTGGGTGATAAAAAGTAAAGTTTGTTTAAACACTATACTTATTGATGGTACTGTTTACCCATCAACATCAGGTCTTACAGTTATTATTTTGAAAAATCACTTGTTTATACTGACAACGGTGCTATATATAAATCTATATTAATTCAGGTTGGTACATTTAACTACAAACGGAAAAATAAAAAGGAGTAGCTCTAAATATTCTACAGTTATCAAGGAAATTATTTCACTCAGGTGAGCTGTCCATGAAATTACAGAAAAATAACGCCTAGTATTGGGATAATCCAAACGAGTTGTCGATCGATTACGTTTGCTAACGCGTCAACATCAGCCCTTGGCCACAGGTGTCTCTAACGAAATAATTTCGATTTTCGAAGAATTACGTGAGGCTGGATAATAAAACGAATTCCAAATGTCTAAACGGAAATCGCCAACGAACTACAAGCCGGCAAGGAAAATTTCACTAGGCGTAGAGTTAGCGTTTATGGAAAAATGATTTATGGCAACTGACTTGGTTGAAATGATACCATATTCAAGAAAAATAAGGTGGATTTAATTACATTTTGTATTGACTGTTTTACAAAACTTTCTTGGGGCAATACCATTAAAAGACAAAATCGGGTAAGAAGTTACTAGTGCGATGGCTACAATATTGCCCGTTCGTTCACCAAAACTTTTACAACTCGACAACGGAAAAGAATTTTATAACTGCCGCTTTGACGCTTTAATGATAAGGTATAATATACACAAATATTCAACTTTCCAGTATTCTAAAAGCAGTATAGTAGAAGATTCAACCGTACTCTGAAACAAAAATGTATAGAGAGTTCACTGCGTGGTTCACACGAATGGGTTTCAGTACAAAGTTGCTTGACGAGATACAATAATTCACGACATAGGACTATAGGAATGACACCAGTACAAGCAGATTCCGACCCGCATCGGTGGTAATAAAACAGTGTAAAATTAATAATGTAAAATTAAATTCAAAGTCGGCGATAACGTTCGTATCAGTACACAAAGGCGTGTTTACAGGTTATCACAAACTGGTCTGCAGCGAAATATTCAAAGTTATCAAAATAAATAAAACGTACCCGTTACTATCAATTACAAGATTATATGGGTAAACCTATATCGGATGTTTTACTCTGAAGAAATACTTAAGTCAATTTCCCAAACGAATATTTAATCAGAAAAACCATA